AGGGAGGAGGTAGTAAAGCTGGATTTGGAAGGTTGTGGTTGGGTTCGGGCCGTAGAAAAAGGAAAGTGGGACCGACGCAGAAGTTATGCTTTTGCGGGATGATCGTGGATACAATCAAGGGAATTATAGTAGCTCCGGAGGAAAAAATTGTATCAGCCACGGTGAAGTTGGAGGCATTATTAAGGACACCAACAGTAACGGTGAGAGACCTGGCTTCGGTAGCAGGCAAAGTTGTAAGTTTGTTAAGGGCGTTTCTTCTGAGTCAGGTAAAATGTATGGAGTTTTACAAACTTATAGATGCGCGAAACCGTGGGGCATGGGAATTTGACAACAAGGTCCAACTGTCGGCCCAAGCGATAGAGGACGTTCGATGGCTGGTGAGAAATTTGCGAAGGTGGAATGGACGTCCAGCCTGGAAGCCCTCTCGGATAAAATCGGTCTATATCGACGCTTCGACAACCGGTTGGTGTGGAGTTGTTCAGGGATACAAAGCGTCAGGAAATTGGTTGCAACCCCACAGGTCAAATGTTATAGCCAGTTGGAGGCGCTAGCAGTGCTACGGATACTGGAGTCATTCAAGGACCTGCTGAGGGACTCGTGGATCACGTTGTTTATAGACAACAGGGTGGCACTAAAGACGGTATTGGAAGGGGGCCCGACTCAGTGGCAGAAGGACATCACGAGGCAAATTTGGGAGGTTTGTGTAGCAGGCGATATTGGGATATTCAGTACAAGGTGGATCCCAAGCGAATTAAACCTGGCGGATTTTCTGACAAGGGTAACGGATTTGAGAGACTGAGTAGTAAGTTCGGAGGTCATAGACCAGCTGGAGAGAATGTGGGGGAAATTCGACATCGACAGGTTTGCGAGCCATTTGAACGCAAGGACCGAACGATTCAACAGCCTGTATTTTTGCCCAGGGACAGAAGCGGTGGATTGCTTTACGCAGGATTGGGCCAGAGTAAGGAATTATGTGTGTCCACCGTTCGGACAAATTCACAGGGCATTGTGTCATGCGAGAGAATGCAAGGCGTGGTTGGTCGTTATAATTCCAGTATGGGTGTCAGCCCCTTGGTGGCCGTTGATCATGAACTCCCCAAGAAAGGAGATCGATTTAACAGCACCAGACCAAATTATTCGGCCGGGTCCATCCGGAAATATAGAGCCTTGCAAGAACAGTCAGTGGCGTCTGAGGGCGATGTTGCTGGATTGGTCGAAGGATTGCTTGGTAGGGCTGAGTATTTAATGGACAATTCGATTAGTGTTCCATATAAAAAGCGTCTGGAAAAAGCACGATACATCTTCGAGAGTTTTGCCGATTGGGCGGGATTTACGCCGTACCCGTCTTCGGAAAAGTTATTGGCAGCCTTTTTGGCATGGTTGGAGGTATCTGGTAGGGCAACGGAAGTTGCTATATGTCTATCTGCCGTGGCAAGGGAACACAAAGTAAGGAACCTCTGTGATCCAACGAAGGAAAGCGCGGTTCGGCTAATTGTGGAAGGAATTAGAAGGTCTCAGGCCCTGGTTAAAACTGAGACTAGGTGGCCGAGAGACCCGTTACCAGTAGCAGTAGTTAAGCGTTACATTATGTTTCCACCACCAGGGATCAGTATGGTAATGTGGGCTCGTGATATAGCCTTGGTCGCTTTAGGTTTGAGGGTTATGCGAAGACCTGGAGAATTATGTAATCTGAGGCGGTCAAATATCGTGAAAAAGGATAATAAGTTATGGATTAGGTTGTGAGATCGAAAACTGACCAGCTAGGGAAAGGAAAGTTTATTCCAGTTGAACGAACGGCGAGTGAGATTTGTCCGGTTAAACTCTTGTGTATGTATTTGAGGTTGAGGCCGGAAACGCCACCAGAAAGTCCTCTGTTTCTGTCGAAAACTGGAGGAAAGTTGTCAGTGGCGGCAATATCCGCAATAGTTAAAAGGTTTGCGGACAATGCGGGGCTGCATGGAAGGTTTTCGGCGCACAGTTTAAGGATTGGAGGCGCGACGGCAGCTATGAAAGGGGGCATGACAATGGAGCAGATCCAATCTATTGGCGGATGGTCATCAGGGGCGGCTCAATTGTATATGAGGGCGATTAGTACCACTGAATTAGGGGCTTCGCGATTGATGAGTTTTTAAAAGAAAAAAGAGAGAAAAATCCTATCAAGACCCAGTGAAACCTTGTGATGATGCTCTGCAAAGACCCGAAACTTTATTTCATTGTATTT